TTGAAATGGGAAATGAACAAGCACGTAAAACCATACACCCAATATGAATCTGCAATAACGTTCAACATTCCTTAAAGACAAAATAAAAACCTGCATTTCCATTAACAATCTCCAGCTCAATTGGGAAAAAAAACAAAATGTGCAACTATTCTGCTACATAAAACCATTGAACCAAACGCCCAGAAGAAATTGAAGATCAAAACTTTCCCCAGATGTAAAACAATCCCAAGTAACAAAACAGCCCCTTTAAACACCCCCAATTCAAACTACCACTAAACCAAACATCTCGGAACCTTTAAAAAAAACATCCTTAGAAACCTCAGAACGATTAAAAACAATGAAAAATAAGAGGAAGACAAAACCTGCTTTCCAAGAATGAGCAACCCAGGATTCTCAACCTCAACAAGCTTCTTCAAAATCTTAGCAACAGTGAGGGGAATCAATTCACGAGCAGCTTCCACGTGGATCCCTCTATCAGCACCCATAGCAAGACCCGTCCGCAGAGTATCCACACAGTTGGCGGGTCCCATACTAACCGCCACAACCTCCTTTGCCAACCCAGCTTCCTTAATTCTCAAAGCCTCTTCCAAAGCTATCTCGCAAAACGGATTCATAGACATCTTCACGTTCTGGATCTCAACCCCACTCTACCAAAAACAGAAGAACAAACCAAACCAATTTTTTTTTTTTGTGGAAATTTCAGTGAAATGAGAAATTAAAAGTTTGGGTTCGATAAATCGATTGATTGGTTTGGTTTTATCATTTCTTTTACCTTGTCAGGTTTGACTCTGATCTTAACGGCGTAGTCCACGACTCGCTTTACGGCTACCATTATCTTCATGGTTGGCAGCTCTTTCTATTTGCCGTCGTTTTGGTCTTCGATGTTAGAGCTTTGGTAATGGAAGCTGAGACGTAGAGACCTAAAACGTTCCAGCAGAAAAATTTAAAAGAAAATTGGAAGGTAAGCGAGTTTTAGAAGGAAATCTCGTACTCTTTTGTCTCCTCGTTAAGTTAAAATGATGTTCTTTTATTACCGTAATTAACATTTTTATTTTTGTAATTTTGTATTGGATTCGGAGAGGCCAAGAGGGGTGTTAAAATTGGGCCCAGCCCAACTATTTAATCAAAAACTGATTAATATTATTGGGCCTAGCAGAGATTTTGACCCAATGTGCTCCTCTGACAAAATGGGCTCAAACAGAAAAGGTAAGAAAAGGACTACAATCTTTGATTTTGTTTTGTTTTTTTTTTTCGTAGCACATGATAAAAGGGCAAGGTGAGCAATCGGCCAAGTTCTGTACATCTACTGTCATTTTGGGGTAAGCTTTCTGATAGTTGGTGAGGGTAGGGGCCTGGGGCTGACCTACATCTTTTTGTATAATTCCTTCTCTTGTTTGGCTTGTTGTTTCTTGTATTCTTCTCCCCTTCAATGTTATCTTTTGTTCTGTGTTTTCTCTTCTGCATATTGCAGCTCTCAATGTACTTTGTAACAGGCTGGTCCTGCTCTCTTTTCATCATTGAATTCCATTTATCTAAAAGGATAAAATATACTAGACAGGAACACAATTATCTTATACGAATTTTTCCCCTTCTCCCGATCTAAGTTTTTCTACAAGAAAATGATTTTGCAATCTAATCAGACAAAGTGATGGAGTTATGGCACCATTTTATTTACCCAATTGTATTATCTTTATATATTTTTTCCATCCAAATGAATCCCAGCATACCACAAGCCCTGAGGGTTGCCACAGTTATCATATCTTTGCCCATGCTTACTAGCACATAGGTGAAACAAAGTTCTGGGTGATATGTTGTTTTGCCATTTGAAGAGCCACTAAAGTGCAAAACAAGTAACATAGAATTTCTGTTTTAAGAGCAGTCTACAGGTAGCTTATGTGTCTGCTAGTGACAGGAAAATGGAAATCAGGAACAGAAGAGTATGGCTTTGTACTTTAGATCTCCACAAGGAATAGAGAAGATCTAATGTTATTTGTATACGTACTATTTAACTCTTTAGTTTCACTGCAACAATACATGGAGGGTTTTTTTTTTCTTTCTGTCCTTTTGACACCTTGAGGAAGCTGCATCCTTATTGTCTCCGGTCTCCCAGTTTCCAACTCTTTCCCCCATATATATGATTCTCTTTGCATTTACTTTTTGAAGAGTTCGTCACCAAAATGTGGAAACATGCAGTTCAGGTTAAAATTTTACCAGGTGGAAATAAGTGTTGTTGAATTACACACACCCTTGAGTTGACTAGGAGGAAGACCTTGAAAGGCTTGCACATTACACCATTAATATTTGAAGCATCTTCAATTTTGCAGAAGGACCATTGAGGTTTTCCATAAGGTCTATGGTTGACCCTGGGAACTGTTGATTGCAAAGGAAGATCTAAAGAAAGAGTGAAGGGTAAAAGAAAATTGAAAAAGAAAATGGACTGATGATTACTCCAAACCTAACAGGAAAAAAGAAATGGAAAACCATCAACCTCACACACATGCAGAGGGTATTACAACTTCAATTTAAGATCTCTTGTTCTCCAGGCAGTTGAGTTGGAACAAGTGACATTGACTAGGTATACTTAATTGGTGACTCATGGCATTGATTACTATGCAGTAATTTGGTAAAAGAATTTAGTAATGGTTTGAGATACCTAAACTTCTGATAATAGCTCCATTTTCAAAAGCTAAAACAGCTGATTCTTACAGGCTGGAAATTTATAGTGTACTTGAGAAGAATTAGAACCATTACCAACCGAGACCAAACCATATATTCTTTGTTCAACAACCATAACATTATTGGCAATAGAAGTTGGTAGCTATCGGATTCTCTAAATTGAAGAGGACCCCCTTTCTGCCAGCTAAATCAATTGAAGGGGACCTCCCCCCTTCTACCACTTCTCTCATAATCTCCCTCTCTGTCTCTATGTCAAAGCAAAAATGAGACAAATACTTGATGCAATCAAGGAAAAGAAATAAAAATTAACAAAGAACTGTATAAAAAGGAAGTGGGTCTTTAAGCAATGAATAATGATGCTCTTAATCATGGCTGTAAGTCATTTGAGAACACAATGGACCAGCCCCCTACCCCAAGTCATTATAATTTATAAACCCCAGAAATAAATTCAAATAAAATAATGATTTTCAATTTCAATTGGAACATTTCTATGTCACAAATTTAATTGTCTCTTAACACATAAAAAATCTCTATGTTAAAGAAAAAAAAAGAAACGAAGAAAAGAACCCTAAATCTCTGGTCTTATGGCTCCAAACAAACAGGTAAAACTGCACTTTTGGATCCTCTGCCATGACCAAAAGAAAAGAAAGATCTTCTCACTCTGCTACTGCAACCTTCAATGGGGCTAACCTCACTGACTTGCCTGTTCTGTCGTATAGCTTCCTGAACTGCTAAATATAGCTGCCGATCTGCGGATGAATCCATTGAGATAGACCTCCTTATTGGCTGAATTGCGAACTGGTCATCTTTCCCTCTGGTGTCAATGCATTCATCTCCCATGCTAGTACCTTTATGAAACTTCCTTGCCTTTTTCTGCACAATTCTCTGCTCCAACTTCCTTGGTGAAGGACTAATTGACCGCGTCGATGGCTCCCCTGAGTTCAGTCTTTCTTGTGCGCCAAGCAATATTTGATCAGTAGAACTATGGTTACCTAATTCAATCACCACAAAATCTTCATCACCGCTAATTACATTTTCGGTATATGGATTTGGATCTTGTGGTGTTGTGCTTGGAGCAATGATTTGGTCAACTGGGAACCGACTAGTACTCGAAATGCTTGTTCTGCAAAGTGGACAATTGGCATTGTTTTGAAGCCAAACATCAATGCAATCAATGTGAAAAACATGGCTGCAGTTTGGTATTATTCTTAGCTTCTCATCTTCCTGGAACTCATTCAAGCAAACTGCACATTCACAAAAGCTTCTTTCTCCAAAATCTCTGTTGTTCCCACCTTTCTTGAATTGAAATATTGGGATTGACCTTATCACAGATTCATCAAGTCCTCTATGTTCCATTGCTGGAGAGTGTGCCATTAAAGGGTCTTCGTGTTGTCTTCGAGATAAAGAAAATCTCCTTAGAAGATCAATCCTGTGCCAATTGAGGCAGCACTTGATGACAAAGATATAGTAGCTGACTAACAAGAAAGCTGTAGCTAAAATTCCTATGACTGCAATAGCTATAATGGGAAAACTTGTATCTGATGAATGCAAATGAGCCCCCAAGATTGAGTTTCCTGGACTTGTGATTGGAGAAAGAGCTTGTGAGACTCGGATCGTGTTCGTGTAGCTTTTGCTGACAAGATCCATGAAAAACAATTTGTCAAACAACGCAAAGAAAAGGGTCTGCCCGGATCTTGAAAACAATCAAACATGCAAAATTTTATACCGGAAGGAAAGAAAAAAAAAACTGTTTCAGAAACTAGAAATGATATTGCAAACGAGAACTTCTTGTTATGTCCTTGAAATCCATTGAAACACCAACAAAGAAAAAAAAAGGAAAGAAAGAGTCAATCAAAGAGCTAAAGAAGACGGAGAACAAGCATGGAGTTGATGAAGATAGATTTGGAATGAGACAGGTGGAGTCAAGAAAGCAGCAAAGAACATGGAGAAGAGGGGATGAAGAGAGAAAACCCAGGTGGACTTTAAATGAGGGAGGTGCTGAAAGGGGGACAAGAAAAAGCTCCAATATTAAATTAAATCTTTATTTACAGGAGAGAAAAAAATGAAAGTCTGAAACGAGAGTACGTAGTTGGTGAATTTCTCTCAGGTTTCCACGAGAAGTTAGGCTACAAAAAAAATTGTTTCAGACTTTCAGTGTCTCGATTATTGTACTTTTTTCTTGTGTCTTTTTTTAAGATTTTTCCATTGTTATTATGTACAGCAGCAGCGTATGGGGGAATAGAAAAATGGAGGGGGGACTAAATAGAATGGATTGGCTCACCACAATGAATGATAGGGGCTTGACATAAACGTAGGAATCAAGTTGGTGGGGGGACCAAGAATAAGACATCAAATTTATCATTTGATTCAAAGCTGATGATCTCTGATGATTTGAAGTTGGAACTTAAAAAGTCTTACATGGCTTTTATTAACATGTGAAGTTAAATTTCTGTCTTACAACAGTCAAGTGACCACCAAAAATCACTGCAAACCATCATTTTCTTTTCTTCTGATAATCAAAGATTTGATTGTGTGGTAATTTCTTTTCCATTGCAAAGGATTCTTTCATCCTCACTTTTACCAAACATGTGCTACAAGCATCTGCTCTAATCCACTGTTTCAATTCTTTTCCTCATGGGATCTGAGGTAATTAAGGGATTTCACTCTAAACTATGGACACCCTTTTTTTTCTTTTCTGTGAGAAGAAAGGAGAGCAACAGCAGCCAAGCCATGACAATGTCTTTTTGGGCATAATCTTACCTGCTAAGTAACCAACACTAAAACAAAACGTGATAGACTATTTGCAGGAGCCAGTTAATAGAGACGGGATGGCACTAAGCCAAACATACAATGGCAGATTAAAATCAAATCACCTAAAAGAGAGTAGGTCGGGAAACTGCTAAATTTAAAGCATGATTGATTAGTTTTGACAAGAGCACAATAGTTTTTAGCTTTTCTTTGTGTAGATTTAGATGATATACCTTTCAATACGAAACTACCAAACAGTACTACGTAATAATTTCAACATTAGTTTATCCATCATCCTAGTTTGATGAACAATAAAACAGAATCTACCTTGTGAAATTATATCAAACTCACAAACCTAATCTGAAGTACAATCAATTAATTAGAATCAATAAATAGGTTGCCATGTATCAATTGGGTGTACAAGTTTAAGGGGTAATGATTTTATAAAAACTTGACTTTACATGCACTCATCCTTTTGTCAATCATCATCAATCATAAAGCACAAAATAAAAGTCTCAAAGTCACATGCAACCCACCAATTTATTTAACCTTTTGCAATTTTGCCAAAAATCCTCCTATCTGATTGAAAATTTGTCGATTACCCTTCATATCTAACCTTGCATTTACACTATACAAAGCTTTTACACGTCTCCCCCCACCCCGCTTTCCCAATTTGAAAAATGCTCAAAGATTTCAAGAGCAACAAAGCAAAGAAGCCTACACGTTTCGGGAGGGTTTCTCCTAGTGGGGTCCCGATCCTGATCGCCACCCAAAAAGCTCTAGTCTTTCACAGGGAAAGTCAAATCTGTGAACAATGATCCTAACCCAAAGCAAAGGGAAGGTCCACAAACAAAAATACAGAACCGACACTCTCCATATTTGCGTGTTGACAAGCCATAGAAAGACAAAGCCCCGCCCCAAGTGAGGAAAGAAAAACAGTCTCTCTCTCTCTCTCTCTCTCTCTTTTATTCAAAGTGTGCATTTCCAATTATTTAGTCAAAGGTTGTGAGCCACTAGCAAAGAAACTTCTTCCATCCTAGTAGAAAAATTTCTATCGGTGAAGACTTTTTGTTCAAATCACCATCACAGGATCAGTATTCATTTCCTAGTGAACGTCATAGAGATGATCAAAAGGTTCAAAACCTCTTTAATTTGCTTAAGAAAAGAATGTTTACCTTAATAAATAAATAAGAACAGTTGAAGGGTGGGTATGAGAGCATGAAACTAGTTAAGCCAGAACCAATAATTCATGTTAATTAATTACTTTCTTCTACATTGTTAACCTATTATAGGTATTAAGTATCTTGAATATAACTAGCTTGTAAAACAAGGGCTATGTTTGGCTCATACAAGTGGGTTTTTTCCCTGGTATAAATAAGATTATCCCAGTTTCCATTCTCTTGATTCATGTAGGGTAGGCGCCCTGTACCTATTGCTTTTCTTTTATTAGTAAGTAGAATGGATACGGTACATGCAAGGCTAGATTTCTTAGCCTTGGAAACCAACATTAGTATTCACCCCAACTTTTACATTCACAACAACAAGTTTCGTTTCGAGGATAATGTTATTTATATTTTTTGTCATTTTCTTTTTTTTTTCATTCTCTATTATTGCTGTATATCTTGTCCATTTTCTCAAGAAACGTTTTTATGATTCTACCAAATTTCCACCACAAATTTATCATCTTGGCATGCAATTAATTCACCTCGTCCTTTCTCCCATATGCTTGCATCGGTACTACGCCAGGCTTCCCTCAGCTTTTTCTTGAACTTGGGCAGAACCATTTCAACTTTCAAGCCATTGTCCTCAAGTATTGTTTGGGAGAGGGAATTAGTCATGGTCCCTTAATTGCCATGAGTATGATAGTTCAACTATCACTCTCTTAAAAGTAAGAGCACATTCATTCACTAGAAAAAGAAGTTTTATACTTGAAATTAACCCAATGAATTGTTCAAAAGGGGAAGGATTATCCTATTCTGTGCCGATTCCTAATGCACAGAAAGAAATGATAAATGTATAAGTTAAACATAAGATATATATAGCTTCCCATTAATCTAACTTTGGATAATTTTAATTGATGAGTGGTGGATTCCTTTATTTACCAATATCCAACAAAGTGAAGACACGACATTGACTATCCAAACTCCATCAATATTAGGCCAATCCAATGGTTGTGATTGATGAGATTCTAAATTGAACCACATGCAAAAGCATATAATAATAGGCTATACCACAAAGAATATACTACAAAATAAATGCATTAGATAAAGCTTATAAATGAAAATTGGCACATGGAAGAGGGGGGAGGAGGCAACAGCAACAGCTGTTGAAGAGAGGCAGTTTACTTGGGGAAGGAGTTGGCCTCTTCATGAATTTGCGAGAATGCTTTTGTTTTTATTGTTGCACCTGCTTGTCAGTCAGGATTTATTATTTCTTTCAATTTTTTTCCACAAAATATATATAAATCATTATTTTTTTTGTTTATTTGGTTGTTGTTGTTTATGTAAGTTGACTCTGTTCAAGGGTTTGCTTTTTGTTTAATTCAGTTTGGCCATCAACTTCTTAGAGTAAAATGGTAATTTTACAAAATAAACCCAATTTTATAATACTTCGATCCTCTTCTTACTTTTATATTGTTTTATATTGTCTTATTTTCAATTATAGAACTTAATCCCTACTTATATCTAATTAGTTAATTCAATAATATTAAACTTACATGAAATTATTTGATGTGGAGACTAATGCTGGTAACTTTCAATGTCCGGTTTTGGAATATGATTTTGGTATTGTTAGTTTTATGTTTTAGGTGCGATTTAAATCTAATCTCGATGCTATAGTTTAGTAATATGTTCAAATAATCCCTTTAAAATGTTAAGAAACTTATTTTCAATTTGTTTAGTTTTGATATAAATTTAATTTTGTCTCAATTTTTTCATTTATTTGATAAAATATAAAATTAATTAGCATTATTACAACATCTAAACGAAGAATATAATAACAAGAAGGATACCTAAGGTCTCAAAGGTGACAATTCGGTAATTAAAACTTAGGGATTTTTTTATTGAGAATTTCGAATTATAAATTTTATAATAATATAGAAAAATCTCGTATAGTGTAAGATTAATTAATTTTGCTTGGCAATGGACGACATGGATGAAGACCAACTGCCACGTGTATAAGAAAGGTCAAAATTGATGCGTCACATCACGTGGGAGCCCACGTTGGATGACGAACTCACGTGATCTGGGAATGGGATCTTAAAGCCTTTGGCCTTTTTAACAAATTTTCAGTTTTTCACCATTGTTTTTGCAGTCGGAAACAAAAGAAAAAGACCAAAAAAAGAAAGAAAAAGATTGAATTTAAACTTTGACTACGATGGGGCTTTGCACGTGCTGTCACGTGCTTTACTTTGGAAGCCGACCATTGCAGCTTCCCTCTTCAATAGGCACCTTCATCACGATTCACACACACACACGCACACTGGGTCAAGCCAGTCAAAGGTTGACAATTTTTTGGTTCTTTTTGCTTTTTTTTTATTTAATTTTTCTAAAAAATACTTGTCTCCACAAAAATTCTATAAAAATGCAACCCATTTGGTTAAGATTAAAAAAAAATGTTGTCGGTCTACTATACAAAGACTTCCATGGTTGAATTTCTATTGCATGAAGTATTAATCTATTTGAAAACTACTAATTTACTACTGAGAAATATATATTTTTTGGCCAAGTGAACAAAAAATATTAAATTGAATGTTTAATGGTGGGTTTTGAATTTGACCAGTCCTTATAGATATCTAGTTGTCAAGTGAAAACAAAACATTACAGATTAATTACTGATAATACTTTTAAAAATTAATTTAATTAATTATATGAATTTATGTTTAATTATATTAAATTAAAAAAAACTAAAATTCTATAATTATTTCAATGGTAGAGTATGGGCCTTGTAATTAGCTAAAGATATGTAGTTCCATGTATCCTACAATGGGGGCAAATTGCACTTCACTTGACTCTTCAATTCTAAGTTCATCTACACTTATAAAAAATGATAACAAGTGACATTAGATTCGAATATTATCAATGATCTTTCATTAATGCTAATTTCGAATGCATTATCACTGTAACATATGAAGCATCTTACCATGAATGGAAAGAGGAGGCTTTTCAAAAAAAAAAA